GGGGGGGTGAGGTTCTAAGGCTCACCTCTGTTGATCCCCAATTTCTCACCTGATGGTCCCCCTGCGACTGTGCCTGTCTTAGGTTGTTCCTCCCTTGAGGAATCTTACCTGTATCTGGCTAACCAGTCATCTTCCGGGACCATACAGGGAAATGTAAAGTTGGTAAGTGAGAGAGAAGCAATATTGTTTGAAAAGGTTAGCTTTTTACTTCTTTGCAGATTTATGCCCTATGGCTTTTATGCCCAGCATTTGTCTTGAGGTATCTTTACCATTTGGAAGAATTATGATACTCGGTAATTTCGATATGAGGCACGAATTCTACCTAAGGGTTATAATTAGGAAGGAAGAGGAAAAGTAAAGCTTTTTATTTTTAACCAACTTATATTCTGATTGAGAATATTTGTGCCCCTTTATCCCTCTCATCCTCCACAACCACCCACTCCAAACCCTCTACCATGGTAACCACTAGTAACTTCTCAATGGCTATAAGTCTACTTCTGTTTCATTCATTGTATTTTGCTTGGTTTTTGTATTCCACAAATAAGTGAAATTATATGGTATTTGTCTTTCTCCACCTCTCTTATTTCACTGAGCATAATACCCTGTAGATCCATCCAGGTTTTGCAGGAAATCTTTTCTTTTTATGGCTGAGTATTGTTCCATTGTGTGTATGTACCACATCTTTATCCATTTATCTATCAATGGACAGACACTTAGGTTGTTTCCAAATCTTGGCTATTGTAAATAGTGTGGCAATGAACTTGGGGATGCATATATATTTTTTCAAGTCATGGATTTTGTTTTCTTCAGGTCATTTCCTAGAAGTGGAATTATTGGGTCAAATGGTATTTCTATTTTTAGTTTTTTGAGGAACCTCCATACTGCTTTCCACAGCAGTTGTACAAATTTATATTCCCACCAACAGTGTAGCAGCGTTCCCATTTCTCCACATCCTTGTCAACAGTTGCTATGTCTTTGTCTTTTGGATAGTGGCCATTCTAACTGGTGTGAAGTGATAACTCATTGTGGTTTTGATTTGCATTTCCCTGATGATTAGTGATGTGGAGCATCTTTTCATGTGCCTGTTGTCCATTTGTATTTCTTCTTTGAAGAAATGTCTGTTCAGGTCCTCACCCATTTTTTAGTCGGGTTATTTTATTTTATTTTTTTGGTGTTGATGTGTATGAGATCTTTAGATATTCTGGATGTTAGCCCCCTTTTTGGAAAAATCATTTATGAATATATTCTACCATACTGTAGGTTGCCTTTTTGTTCTTCTGAGGATGTCCTTTGCTGTACAGAGCATTTTAGTTTGATGTAGTTCCACTTGTTCACTTTTGAATTAGTTTCCCTTGCTGAAGGAGCAGTTTCCAGGAAAAAATTGCTCATACTTATGTTCAAGAGACTTTTGCCTAAAACTACCACTCTCCCTAAAGCTTTCTCTTCATTACTTTATTGTACTGATGTCTTCTTCTTTTGTTCTTTTACTAAGTGTGGTCTCCTGTTGTACTCATATTCTCAAAAGGGAATTATGTGGCCACAGTTATCCCCTGACCAAGCTACAACTTCTTTAACAGGTAGAGTTCTTAAAAGTTGCTAAGTCAGGTCTTCGGGTCAGGCATTGATCTGTGCACGATCCATTATGGTCTGGCCAGGTGGCCAGGGGCATGTGATACAAAGCATGGCAACAATCATGCAAAACCTGATTCAAGCCAATTCCTTGAGCATTACACAACCACTCTGAAGTGTTGGTGTTGCTTGCATTGGGTACACAGATACATCACATACATTGTACATTTGCATTGGCACGATTAGAATTAAAGCTATCACTACAGATATGCCTTGGCAGAGCACATAGTGAAATAATACACTAACTGGCACAGTCAATCCAAACTGGCTGGGCTGGAAGGCAGAGCAGTCTATGATACTGGCTTCAGCTTCCTAACCAAACTAAAGGTTTAAAGACTGAACAGTAGCAGATTGTGACCTGTTGTATATTTGTGAGATCTCATCTGTCATAATTACTATATCTTCTAAATATATTTCATCACCATCAATGAAAGCTCATACTTTATCTAAAATGACCAGATAATATCACCACTACCAGGATCCTGGACCATAGCCAGTCTTCTGGCATTACAGTGATCCTCGATGCAACCCAACACCACTGTGAACAGGATGCTGAAGCAGCTGTTGCAATAAGCTGAAAGGAAGAATTTGCAATCATTGAGCAAAGGAAATATATAGCAAACTGTACAAAGTATGTACAAGTAATGCAATCATGCCTTGAACAAAATATGATCTTTTTAGTTGACTTTAATTGTAGAAATTAAGGCAGACTTGGAAATATAGTAGTCATTTCTCAAGAAAAAGTTCTCCTTTGATAAAATTTTGAAATTTGCTAATTTACCTATGTAATATTTGTGTCAATTACCCAATGTGGGATTTTAGTATATGCAATTTTTCAAATCACCCTTGTTGATAATTGAGACAAAAGAGCTAGGGTTAGGAATAGAAAAAGGAGTAAATCAGACAGTAGAGAAAGAACACTTTATTTTGCAGTTAAGGTTGAAAAGATAAAGAATGTTAAAAAGAAGAAAACTTCATTTTTAGAAAAGACATGAGTAAGCTGGGTCATATACAAAATAAAGCTGATGGAGATGAACTAAGGATATGGGGACAATGGAAGCAGGGAGGAAAGGATTGGGATTGGCATGTAGATGTTAGCATCTCTAGCCATCAAATCAGAAAAGCATTAAACAAAAAAGTCTTGTCGCTGTTATGATGGCAAATTTATTAAGCGATTAATGATAATACTGCCTTTCTCCTCCCCCCCATCCATCAAAATGAATCCTGCTTCATCTCATCAGTTCTCCCCTCTACTGAGCTCCAAAAGAGGTACTGTTGTGTTCCACTTGTCTTTGGGGATTTCATGATGAACTGCTGCAGAAGGAATGTGTGCTGAAAGGGAACAATTTGAATACTAGAGCAATTTCAGGATCAAAACTTTCAAGAACGTTTTTCAGAGGAATTTTGGACAGAATGGCATAGAAGTTACCTTGTGAGAGAGAAGCAGATGAGTGAGGGAACAAGAATTTTAAACATTGCCATAGAAAAATGTTTCTTTTAAGGACTCTAAGAAACACATGTGAAGAGTTTAAATTATTTTTAAATGATCTCTTTGGTTGTGCTCTGACTGCTTTGCTGACCTGATGCTGGACCTCATGGACTATGACTCCATAAACATTACCCTAGATTGTACATAATCTTCAATTTAATCCAACAGCTGTGCATATATCTTTTAGAAGCTGCAGTAAAGAGAGAGAGACTTGTTAGTGATTTAGGTGGTAAGCAAAACAAAATAGTGCAGAACAAATTCTTAGTTGCTTTCATTGATCATTATTGATCTTATCCTTAGTGATAATTTCTTCTCTTCTTTTTGTAGGGAATACAAATGTATAATAGCTTTAACTGGTTAATTTCTGACTTCAGTTAACTCTATTCTATTTTTCTTAACTATAAATTCTCCTACACAAGAATTTTCAAAGATATGACCTCTACAGTTGGGAAGATACTATTATAGTTTCAAATTTTTATTTTTCACAAATTGTATTTTTCACCTCAACTGATTAGTTTTGTTTCTCTTTCTATACATAGATTTCAGATGCGCAGACATATCAACATACAAATAGCCAGACATGTATACAGATATCCTCACTGACCCCAGTCTTTTCCTCCTCCTTTCTCTCACTCTGTGTCTGTCTCTTGTTTTTCTGTCTTTCTGGACACACATGTACACATACACACACACTTTCTTTTTTCCTTGGCACAGCTGAAAACATGACAATAAAAAAGATTAAAAATGCATATCTCTTGGCCAAAGCCAAAGAGTTGATGGCAGTTCTTCTTTAAGCTCACCATTTGGCTATTATTAATAGGATTCTGTGGTTTAAAATATGATTAGTAAAGGCATACATGTCATGGCAAAATGTATCTTGAAAATTGCCTCAATCCGAGCTGAAAAAATTGGATAAGAAACACAGCTACAACTAATGAGCCTAGCTTCCAATGGCTATATTTATAACTACTTCTATCTCAAATATATATAAAGACTGTCCATGCTATAAAATACTCCAGGGCAACCACAGCATTGCGTTAAAAATGGTTGAGCCCTGCTGGAGAAGCACCTATTTGAAGGAGTGCCTGATCAGGTCCAGCCCAGAGCTATGTGCTATTGGAAGCTGCTTCTCCCTTCAGTTTTCCTGTGCAACGGAATCTTCCTGAAGGTGGTGGGACCAATCAATCTGCACAATGAAAGATACTAAGGATACCTATTCCCCCAAGTTTTTGCCTTTCCACAAATGCGGACTAGTTAACCAAGGTGAGTTCTTTACTCTCCCTGAAAAGAGCCTTTCTCTACACCCAGATCCCTAATTTGTCCTGGCAAATCCCATAGCAGCCCCATCAGAAAGTTTCCTTGAGGTATGCTCCACACGTTCAGTTCAATTCTACTCATCACACACCTTCAAAAACACAATCTTTTGCCTAAACCTTAATCGTACTTAAAAATAACTTTTAGGAAAATGATTTCCTACCTTAAGAATGAAGAATGAGTGAAATAACCTCAGATGGAGTTCTAGTTCTTCTCCCAGCCTTGGGCAGAAAGAGTTGTATTTAAGGTCCCACTCCAGAACCTCCAGAACTTTGGAACCTTTGATGAGGGAGAGATGCAGAGTCACAGGTGAGATCCTCTTCTTCCCTCCTCAGGGCACATCATTCAAGTCCCAGCAGCTTTGGGTTCTCCCAACAACACACTCGCTGGGTTGAGGATGACTGCCCAGCTGAACTAGAAGCATAATCTCTCATTCTTTGGTCATTACTCTAACGTGAGTGTGTCTGTCTAGCCTTGCTTCCCAAAGCAGCTCACCTTTCCATCAGCCTTCTTGTTTTCCCCCATTTCCAACTTTATGTGTGTGTATGATATTTCTGGGAGCAAAAATAAATCCCACCATGACATTTAATTATGACCTCCATTAGGCAGCCATGACACTCAGAACCCCACAGTGTTTTCTACAATTGATTTTTGCTGACCCAATCAGTAATTTCCACCTCTTGCAAGGATTTGAGGCCATGATATGCTATGTAAGTTGAATAGGATTTGAGTGTGAGAGCTAAACCTAAATGATGCATGGGCAACTCTGCCTCACCTCCTGTGTTGTTTGGACTTTCCCTGCTGTATCAGGATTGCAAGCACTGGGAGGCTGAGACATTCCACAGATCCCACCTACTTACATAAACTGTGAGTTACTCAGGTCTGAATTTCAGTCACTGCTGAGTAAGAGACTAATCCTCTTCTATATGATTAACATGGCATTGATGAGTCACTGAGTTAAATCCTATTTTCACTATGTTAAGTTTAAACCACTTACATGAATAGGGTATCTGTATCAGCACTTTCCCCGCTGTCTAAAAAATCATTCTATAGTATTTTACATTCTGTGTTCTCTTTTCTCAATTAAAGGGTTGTTACTAAACAAGGATAACTAAATGTAGGCTTATAAAGTCCTAACATGAGAATTAACATTATTTACAAATTTTTATTTAGAGAAAATGAAAATTTCGTGAATTACCTTGGTTTATATAAGAAGCCCATTTTATCACATATCCTATATTTTGGTGAAGTTCCCGAGGAGTCAATTTGCTAATGGAGAAACAGACTCATGATAATTTTACTTAATCTATATTCATTTGCAATATATTATAAAATTTTTGAAAGTCACAACTGGAAACAAATAATGAATAAACCTACATGCTAGCAATATTATATTTTAGATAAGCACATTAATTCATTGATACATTTCTTAGGAAACATTTAATGCATGCTTAGGTATTAATTTTAATAATCACATTGAGACAGTAAAGTATATTTAAGAGTGCTTTACTTGAAAAAAAATTTTTTTGCAGGATGGCATATGATATTATTTGCTTGATATTTGTATGGATTGAGGCCCAGGCTAACAATGGATCACATAATCAGTTTAAGGAGAGAAAAGTCTAATGAATGTCTATTCTTGATGGCCTCATTCTATGTTACCTCTTCTTTCTAAAGTAATTTTTCCATTTTCTTAACAGATGCATATAACATGTGCCTTCTTGTATATCTTTTGTATCTTATAACAATTATTTGTATTTTTTATATTACTTTATCCTCAAAGATTCAGTTTTTATGTCATTAAAATTGTCATGTATGGATGGGGGGAAAAAGATAGTGGTGTGAGAAGTGAGGCAGAAATCTCCTCCCAAAACCACACATATTACGAAAATGCAGAAAATACAACTATTTCTAAAACAGTGACCAGAAATAAGATTGCACTAGCCTGTCTACATCTGGGAAATGAGAATGGAAAATCTACATCATGGAAAAGGGTAAAGTAACAAAGCCATAACCCAGTGGGACCTGAGTACTCCCCCCACCCCAGCTCACTGGTGGAAGAGAAACAGAGCAGGGAGGGAGTAGAAGCCCTGGACTGCTAAATACCCAGCCCTAGAAATCTGATCTGGGAGCACAAACACACATTGCATGGTGCTCTGGAGATCAGAGGAGCTGAAAAGCAAAGTCAGAGCCAGATTCCAGCTGCTAGGGGAGAAAAGGTTCCCCATAACTGGCTGCTCTGGGACAAAAGAAAGGTGGGCACTTTGAAAGACTTCCCAACAGTGAGAGGGCTGCTAAAGGGCAAGGATTACACAGAGCTTGCTGCTCAGGAGAAGGAACAGGTGGACAAAATTGTCCTAGCAATTTTGGGAACTTTCAGGAGCTTCAGGTGCTCCAGACCACTGGCTGGCAAAGCAGCCCTGAGGCCCCCACTGTGACAAGTAGCCTGCCATTCCTTCCTCCCCTCCAGCACCTGTGCACACACCTGCAGCCCCCACCATCATGCCAGGCCAGCTGGAGGATAGCTCCACCTACTGCAACTACAGTGGCTTAACACAGAGGCTGATCCTTGTGCATGGGGGTAATTGGCTCTGACAGCAGAGGCAGACACAGTGACAGGAAGCAGGAAAGGGCTCTGTCCTCCCAGCAGTCACCAGACCCACTTACCTGTGACACCCACCATTGCTCCAGGCCAGCCAGAGGGAAGCCCACCTATAGCAGTTTAGGGCCTTAATTCAGGGGCTGCTCCCTGCACACAGCCCACTGGCCTTGACAGCAGATACTGGCTCTACAGTTGGGAAGCAAGAAAAAGCTCATTCTTTAGGGTAGGCACTGGCACTGCTTGCCTACGACCATTACTCCAGGTGCTGGGCACCTCTAAAGAGCAGAGCTTCTGGGCACTAGATGGCACTTCCTGCACAAACCTAATATTTCTCATTAGCCAATAGGATTATGAAAAGGCAGAACCTTTTTCAATCCAAAGTCCCTCAAGCACCAGAAAGAGGGCTCAGTAAAACTGAAATCACCAATCTTTCTGAAAAAGAATTCAAAATAAAAGTCAGAAGCATGCTAATGGAACTATAGAAAAATATTCAAGAGCTAAGGGATGAATTCAGGAGGGAGATAGACACCTTGAAAAGTACTCTAGCTGAAATGAAACATATAATGGAAGGATTTAAAAGCAGATTAGATGAGGAAGAGGACATGGTAAATGGAATAGAAATTAGAGAACAGGAATACAACAAAAAAGCTGAGGCAGAGAGAGAAAGAAGATCACTAGGAATGAAAGACTATTAAGAGAACTGTGTGACCAATCCAAATGAACAATATTTGCATTATAGGGGTACCAGAAGAAAAAGAGAGAGAAAAAGGGATAGAAAGTCTCTTTGAAGAAATAATTGATGAAAACTTCTGCAATCTGGGGAAAGAAATAGTTTCTCTGGCCATGGAAGTGCACAGTTCTCCCAACACAAGGGACCCAAGGAAGACAACACCAAGAAATATAATAATTAAAATGGCAAAGATCAAGGACAAGGACAGAGTATTAAAAGCAGCCAGAGAGAGAAAAAAGATAATCTATGAAAGAAAACCCATCAGGTTATCATCAGACTTCTCAGCAGAAACCTTACAGGCCAGAGGGGAGTGGCATGTTATATTCAATGCAATGAGACACAAGGGCCTCAAACCGAGAATCCTCTCCCCAGCAAGATTATCATTTAAATTTGAAGGAGGGTTTAAACAATTTCCAGATAAGCAAAACTTGAGGGAATTTATCTCCCACAAACCATCTCTACAGTGCATTTTAAAGGGACTGCTCTAGATGGAACTGCTCCTAAGGCTAAATAGCTGTTACTGGAAAAAATAAAACCACAGTAAAGGAAGTAGACCAACTAAATTTAATTACTAACTAAATGCAAAATTATATCAGCTAACCACAAAGTCAGTCAAGAGATACACAAAGAGTACCTAACATATAAAGAGTGGAGGAGGAAGAAAAGGAAGGGAGGAAAAAAAAGAATCTTCAGATTGTATTTGTAATAGTGTAATAAGCGAGTTGAGTTAGACTGTTAGGTAGTAAAGAAGCTCCCCTTGAAGCTTTGGTAACCACAAATCCAAAGCCTGCAATGCAATAAGTACATATCTATCGATAATCACTCTAAATGTAAATGGTCTGAACACACCAAACAAAAGACATAGAGTTACAGATGGATAAAAAAACAAGACCCATCTATATGCTGCCTACAAGAGACTCACTTCAAACTCAAAGACATACACAGACTAAAGGTGAAGGGAAGAAAAAACATGTTTCAAGTAAATAATAGGGAGAAAAGACCAGGGAGATGCAACACTATTCTTGTACTGCTACAAGAACAGAGTCATAGATCAATGGAATAGAATAGAAAGTCCAGATATAAACCCACACATAGATGCTCAATTAATATATTATAAAGGAGCATGGACATACAATGGAGAAAAGACAGCCTCTTCAATGACTGGTGTTGGCAAAACTGGACAGCTATACATAAGAGAATGAAACTGGATTACTGTCTAACTCCATACACAAAAATAAATTCAAAATGGATCAAAGACCTGAATGTAAGTTCTGAAACCATAAAACTTTTAGAAGAAAACATTGGCAAAACTCTCTTGAATGTTAACATGAGCAACTTTTTCATCAACATATCTCCTCAGGCAAGGGAAACAAAAGTGAAAATGAAAAAGTGGGACTACATCAAACTAAAAAGCTTCTGTACAGCAAAGGACAACATCAGTAGAACAATAAGGCATCCTACAGTATGGGAGAATATATTCATAAATGACATATCTGATAAGGTGTTAACATCCAAAATATATAAAGAGCTCACACACCTCAATACCCAAAAAGCAAACAACCCAATTACAAAATGGGCAGAGTATCTGAACAGACACTTCTCTAAAGAAATTCACGTGTCCAACAGGCACATGAAAAGATGCTCAACGTTGCTGATCATCAGGTAAATTCAAATTAAAACCACAATGAGATTTCATCTCACACCAGTTAGGATGGCCAACATTCAAAAGACAAGCAAAAATGAATGCTGGTGAGAATGCGGAGAAAGGGGAACCTTACTTCTGTTGGTGGGAATGTAAAGTAGTTCAACTATTGTGGAAGGCAATTTGGAGGTTCCTCAAAAAACTAAAAATAGAAATACCATTTGACCCAGGAATTCCACTCCTAGGAATTTACCCTAAGAAAACAAGACTACAGATTCTAAAAGACATTTGCACCCCTATGTTTA